CAAATTAGACAGAAAGAAGTTGCTTATTTCTTTTCTGGAATAAGTGGATGCAGTATAGGTTCAATTCCTCTCTTTCTCTCTTACTTACACACACACACACACACACACACACACAGGAGATAGAGATTTCCCTCTCTCTTAGACTTTTAAACTGCACACCTCAGCTAAGATGTTTGTGAGTTTATATCTCACATTATAGTGGTTCTGAGCATATGAACTCAAGGCACATAAAACTAATACATCTTATAGTAACAAAGATGCCTCTTTAAATAACTCAATGCAGTGTTATTTGCATTGCAGTAGCAAGTCATTACAACAGTGCAGTTTAGGTAATTTGCTGGTAGGAAGTGGAAGTTAACTGTTGTTGATAACTGCCATCACGTAGCCTCTTAAATAAAAATACCCCCAACGTCATTATGATTCAACGTCAAAAATACCCCCAACGTAAGTCTTATGATTCAGACTTACAAAGCAAATTATAAACCACATCTTCTCTCGTATTATCCATGGCACCCTGTTCCTATCCTAAACAACTGGCAGCTGGAATTTTAAAGCACTGTACAATTTTTTTTAAAAAACAGCTCAGTGTTCTCCTTAGATTATTGTTTATATTAAACTGACTGGGTAATAGAACTTCCTTAATACAGTACTTCCACAGAAGCTCTGATGAAAGCTAGCTGCACAAACGTTATAGCGTTACAGCAATGAAGGCTGCACAAATGTTATAGTGTTATAGCAATCGGTATAGATAGTATGTGTGTGTATGTGTGTATGTGTAGCTTTACAATTTATGGCTCATTCATGGATCACTGGTATAGTAATATTTCTTTTACAGCCTTTTATATAATATTTTGATGATGGTGGAATTGGTCCCTGCACAATTAAATGCAAGGTCAACTTCATGACAATATTGGGTTTTTATTTCTTTCCTTTGCTTAGCTGAGTGTAGTCTATGAAGAATTTGTCTCACTCCCAAATATGACCTTCACTTTTTTCAAGATGGTTATAACCTCATTTGTTTAAGAACAGGAACTTAAATTTGCAATAGCGAAATGCTTCTTATTCTGAAAAATTGTGGGAAATATTTAATGAGAAAATAAACGTTCACCAGTGTTCTCTTTATTTCTTATCCCTAATGCTTCATTAGCATCATTCATGGTACAGGTTGTTCAAGCAGATGGAAAGAAATATCTATCTTGACCTATAAGAAGGATGCTTTGCAAAGAGAACAAAGAGAACGAAACAGTAAAGCTGTATGAACTTCTAACAAATGGGCTAGGTCACAACTGGGCACATTTTCTGGGCCAATAGGCACATTTGGAGGTTTTTAATCATGTCATGGCTTATCTCATGAAACAGTTAACATGAAAGGCTTATTTACAAAGACTATCATGAACAGCTTGTTCAATCACCAATAACTAATTATTAGTAGATGAACCAATAAAGTTGTGATCCGTACAAGAACCCTTACTACTAGACTGTTGCTACTTCTTCCACACAGCCTAAAAATCTGATGGCAAATTACTATATTATTAGTTACTAAAATGTTGAGAGATAGGAACAATGAGGGCAGAATACTTATGTTTAATGTCAAACAGAAAGAACATCTCAGTCCTATTGTATTTCTTTGTATCTAGTTTGTAAACAGTACTTGCTGTTCCCGTGCTGAAAGAGAGATTTCCTAGAGGAATGACCCCAAGCACCACTTATACATTAGAAGTATGTACTGATTTTTGCAATTCGTTTTTGAAACCACATCTAGTTCTGCCATAAAATAGACATTTATTTATTATATACAGAGAGACGAGGCTGTGACTACATGCAAATACAGCATGCATATCATATTATCAATAGTATTATTAGTACTGCAAACATTTCATAAAATTTAATTTTATTTGTTATGGATAAAATGCTTCATTCTGAATGGCTCCAGTAGTGTTTATAAGAGTAATAGTAGTATCAGTAAAAAGTTATTTTAAATGTAAACAATTTATATGGCAATAACCCACATGTGACTCTAATGTCAATCAGTCTCTTAAAGCCTTCCAAAACATGCCTTTGGAAGGATATATCCTTGCTTTAGTAGGGGGAAAGCTGTTCCCAAAACGGGAACTCTTACATAAAATACTTACTTCTGTGACCCTTCTAACCACACGTCTCTATTAGTGGGAACCAACTGATAGTTGAAAGTTACTACACAGGCACCCAAAAGTATAAAAGCACTTCATAGATGTTTCTGATTGAATAGATATTTCCCTACTTATAAATTTAGGACAGACTAAAGCCTGCTTTAAAAATATTAAATTGGTCTGTACAGTAGTCTGTTTCTAGCTCCTCAGAAATGGATCTTGGTTAATGATTTCCACATGTACAATCTTGTCTTGGTTCAATAACATCCCTTAAGCAGTTCCACATATTATAAAGAATGACCTGGTAGTATTTTGGGTAATTGCCTGTTCGGATTCCAGTTGGGTGGTCATTTTGTAAAGAAAGTAAAAATGGTAACACATAGAAACAATCAAAACAAAACAAAAGAGGAAAATGCATAGTTAAGCAATTCTCTTATTGGTAAAATAACCCACTTATTGGGCTGCAATAAAAGTATTGTTAAACATGTCTCAGTTTGTAATATGTAAGGAAATTTTAGTTATTAGTTTATATTATATTATAACATGAAGTTGTATCTTATTTTTGTCTTATAGTTTCTTCCAATGCATTTTCATTTTTAAATGAAATTACCCAGAATTCTTCCACTTCAGACTATCACTTTTTCACCTATATAGTGTGAATGATTATCATTATTTGTAGTTTCAGTTCTGCGACAAGGATTTTGAAATATTTTACTCAAAAAGAATGGCCTCTACAAATGGTCTGAATATATGAATATATATTATGAATATACCATAATCCACATATTTTATCACTGCACTTTTTAATCAGGCTTAAACATCTACCCCAAAAGGAAGTCATGCAATCAACAAAGGTGCAATCAACAAATAGAAACATTTAAAAAAAATAATGTTCTTATATGTTGTTTTGACCCAATGCAGGCATTATACAGTGGCTATATTGACAAATATTTGCTGGGTAAGGCAGAAGACGGTTGCAGCCTCAGGGCCCCATTTATGGGTTTGCTTGTTTTTTTGCAAGACTTAGCTGGCAGTTGGGTAAGAGCCTAGTTGGGTTAAGATGACTATTATGGGATTACACAAGTACACACAAATCCACAAAGTGTCTACTCAGCACACATAGAGATTATAATATATGTGTACCAACCAAACTGCCAACAGTTAGCTTTGATACTACAGACACCTATTTTTGGTGAGAAGTTGAATCTAAGGTGCTCTTTGTCCTGACCAAAAGTGCCTTTTTTTTTTGGCAAGATAATAGCATAACCTTCGGCATGAAATGGCTAATTGCTTTATATGGACTGGTGGATCAAGATAGTACTTTATTATCTGTAGAAACTAACCATTTCTCCTCTGTAAATAAATTGGTAATAAACTACTTTATCTGAGACAAAAGAGATTTAAAATTATTTCTAGTATTTACTCATAATAAAGGAAAGAGAACCTTTGAATGCCTCCACACAATTTATCAGCATATAATTGGTGCAGAAGAGGCACCAATAGCATGGATATCTTCCCATATTATGGACTCTCATCCTTTTTTTCTATACGCCTCAAAACTTAAAGAGGATCAGTACACTGGCATTAACTACCAGTGCTGAATGATTTGCACAAGAACCTTTTTGCACAAGTGCTAGCCCAGGGTATCTAATGCCATTTTCACAAATGAAACCCCACATCAGCATTTTAATTGTCTTGTCTTTCCAATGCAAATGAAAAATCTAATATTCGCAAGAATGCACATTCAGCTTAAGCATGTCTGATACTAGCATTGTGCTAACAGTATTTAATAGTTTCAAATCTGATGTTGATGTAGTAATGTTGCAAGACTGCTTTGGGCTAATATATAAATAAGGTGCACACTTCAGTGGGTAGCAATGTGTGGGAAAAATAGGAGAGGACACCATCATGATTCTTGGAGGATGAACTTGGAGCTCAACAGAACTTCTGATAAATGAGTTCTCTCCCTGTTCTTGGACTGCTTCACTGCAGGCTGTAGGTGGGGACTCAAATGATTCATATTTTCCCGTTTTTTTAAAAAAAAATATTTCACCTAATAAACATAGGTTTGGGGCCTACTGTTTACAGACCAAAACGGTTGCAGCATTTTACTTTTTTGACAACCTTCTTTAGTACTTGAGACAAATCTGGGAAAAATGTAAATATGTGAGACCAGATCAAACTGTATTTTACCTTAGTGAGCCATGACAACCCTATCTGTCTGAACGTAAGAGAATTCAGATCCAGGAGCAGTGCTTCTCTTCTGCACCCATCTCTGGTTTATTACTCCCCCCTCCCCCGTATGGCATCCTTGGATTGGTTCCAACAGAACAGGGAGACCTAAAATTCTTAGGGCTAAAACGAGTAGCCCAAAATGCGCAGTATTTAAAAAGAACCGAACTATAGATGCCATTCGATGATGATCGAGCGAATTGACAAGGTGCCTTGAATGTTAAGTAGTTTCACAGTTAGTGCTGCAAAGTCTGTGGGTGGGATACCATCCGGCGCCTCCACTTTGCAAAATCTCTTCACAGCAACAGAGCGAGACCAATTATCATTTCCCCAGCGACGCTCCGCCGAAAGAGACCTTTTGTACATGCCGCATTTACACTACGACCCCCCCAGGGGAAGGGATGGAGAGAGGGCTGCGGTGCGTGCCTACGTGCGTGCCTGCTTCTCCTCTCGCTCGCTCTGTTCCTCTTTTCCTCACAAGTTGTACAAATCGACTTGGGAGATACCAAGGCTAGCCCTTTTAGGGGATCCCGCGCGCTTTCGGCGGCTGCTTCGCGTTCGCTTTTTCACTTTTACCCCCCACCCCCCACCCNGCGCGCGCGTGTGTGCGCTCGCTCGCTCGCGCGGTTCCGTGCGCGCCCCCGCCTAGCCTCCCGCGCAATATGTACATCGTGTAATTTTATTTTCTTTTATTTCCCTCCCTTCCTTCCTCCCTTTTGCATTCTTGCAGTTAGTACGCCCAGTTGCTTCCTGGTTAGAGCTTGCTGGATGGGGGAGGGGCGGCGCAGGCAGCAGCGGAAACTCGGCGCTTCAGATAAGAGCGCGCCCTGCACAGCCGTCGGCGACAGTCTTTTTGCACTGCAGCTGCCGGAGGTTTTAGGGCGACGAGAATGCCGCTGTGACAAGGCGAGTGGCGCGTCCCATCTCCCCCCCTTTTCTCTCCCTTCCCCCCCTTTTTCCCCCAGTGCTTGATTTGGTTCTATTTATTTATGCTTTTTTGTTTTTTTTTTGTTTTTTTTAAAAAAACAAGGTTTGGGAGGGTCATCCTTTCCCCGAATACCTCCAAAATGCCTTGGTGGACCCGTCCAAGATCTGATGGTTGCCTCTGAAAAAATGTTGAGAGGTAAGACGTCTTTCCTTGTTGTCGATCAAGACTGGCGGGGAAAGGCGGGGGGGGGGGGAGAGGGAGAGAAAGCAATGCTTTACGTTTCGGTTGGACTGCGCTTTAGATTGGAGCCGCATCTGCCGCCTTGGGCTCTCCACGTCCCGGGGCTGGGGGGCAAGCGGAGGAAACGAGAGCTTTGGAGAGCCGCCGCCGGTGGAGACTCAAGGTCCCCGCCACAGTTTTAAGGATTTCTTCTCGCTCCCCTCGCCGAGCTTAAAAAAAAAGAAAAGAAAGGCAGAAGGTCGCAGTTGCAGTTCTGCTTTCAGCCGCCGTTTCCTCTCTTGCCGCGGGTTCGCCGTGTGTGTGTGTGTGTGTGTGTGTGTGAGTGAGTGAGAGAGAGAGAGAGACAGAGTCAGCGGGTGCCCCTGCTTTGCAGGGTCGTGCAGTTTTGCAATCTGCACAAACGCGCTCACGCACACACAAACACGCACACGCACACTCGCGCCCAAAGGCTGAGGCTAAGCAGGTGTACGAAAAGGCCCCCTTCCCTCGCTGACCTTTGTTTGGGGCTTATATTACTCCTGAACTTGGCGTTGTTGCTGCGTGTCCCTTATTTTAGACCAACGCCGCTCTACTTGGCTGTCGGAGTAGGACACTTGACTTTGACAGGCCTCGCGTATCACAGCGCTCCATATTGCAGCCACCCCTCCGAGTCTCAAGCGTTACCTCCCCTGACAAAAATTAGAAGCACGATTCCTCCCTATTTTTTTTTCCCTTGTTGGGGGAAAAATAAGAAATATTTAAAGTGTGCTGTAAAGCGGGAGCCCACTGTTTTTTTGTGTTTTTTTTTTGAAAAGCTGACACATTGCCTACCGCATTTAGATTAACATGTGACATGTTTAGTTGTACTTCCTTATATGGAGAGCACTATAATTTGGCATCCAGAGGGATTTGCCCAGGTTCACAAGTTCTGGAGAGCCCTAGATTATATGCAAGTGTTATGAATTTGCTTGTATTTTGATTGAGTAAGGCGCAGATAATTGTGTGGCTTTTACGAAAAATGCACTTAATGTGTGAAAAAAAAAACCCCCCGGTGAAAACGTGGTGATTTAGGTTTTTTTCTGGGAATGTTAAATGTGGTGCAGTGTATGGTAGCGTCTGCAAAGTAGATAACTGACACAATTAAGGTTAAAAAAAAAGCCAGCTCACTTGCTGTTTACCCAGAGCTTCTGAATTCTCAAGTGAGTTGTCAACAGGCATTTGGTTTTAGTTAACATGAACAAAACTCCAAGGGAAAAAAGTTAGAGGGGTTCCCCTCCCCTTTGAATGCATATGTTTAGGTAGAGTATTCCATTTGGATTGTATACAAACATATAAGGATAATTTGCAAATGTTTGTGACTCTATAGAAACAAAAAGTCTTATACTGACAGTTTATATGTGTAAATATCTTTAATTATAGGGATGAATATATATTTGATAAATAAACATGTTATAATATATATTGAATGGCTGTACTGCCTGGACATATGCTTCCAAATATATAACGGTGTCAGCCAGATGGGCAAAGAAGAGTTGTCAGAATTTTCAAAATCCAGAGAACCCTTTGAGACACAGAAAAGTTAAGTGGCTAAGAATATGGAATATGTATTAAGAGAGAACAAGGCAAAAGTGAATATAATTAGTTAATGGTTGCTATGTAAAAGGTCCGATTTGGATTGTACAGGTGTCAAGGGATGGATTGTTTAAAGAGTTTTCAATGGCCTGGAAAGGAGTTTGTTGCAAAATGTAGCATTGACCACCATGACTAAAGAGGATTAGAGAAAAGCTCTTGAGGGAGACTTAGCAAAGGTAGACAGAGGCTGCAGCTTCCAAAACGTGAAGTATGCTTGCTACTGCTGTGTAGGATATTTTAAAAATAATGGAAAGTCATTTGCAAGTCTGATTTTGAAGCAGTATAAAGTAGCAAACCCGTGGCAATCTATTTGTAAGTCTAATTGAATTCAGTGGGTTCTTTTTGTAGAGACACGTAATATATGGTAAATAGTATTTATTTTTGTTATATTGTTATATATTATTTTGGTAACAATTCTTGCACTTTTATAATAAATAATTTATTAGACCTGGCCAATATTCGGTAGATCTATAGGAGAAAGGCAAAATGTTTAAATTTAGATAGCAAAAAGATAGACGTCTTTCAGTTATTAAGATAGGTCAAAAGTGACAGAGCAAGAATCTGGGGGAAAGGAAGAAAAGATGAATGATAGGTATATTAATTATCAGCAGACAATAAAGTAGTTAATTATCCAGTAGAATATATGCTGATTGCTTTGTTGCACCAATCAAATATTAAGTGCTTCCAGAGAAATATCAAATTAAAAACCTAGTTTTTTATGAAACAAATCTAATAAGGTAACTTTGGCCTAGTCTAGACATCACACTCTGCAATTGCTAAATCATTGCTAAGAGTGAGTCTGCCTTCTTTTTCTTTTCTTGTTCTTCTTTCCTCTGAGCTTGTATATTTTCTTTTGTTTTCTGGCTGTTGGCTCCAATTGTGATTTATATATATCATACTATAATGAGATCTGGTTTGGAATAATTATATTCACTAACCATTATTTATTGATAAACCAGAATTTGAAATTGGGTTTTGGATTTAAAACAAGAGAAATAAGAAACTTTTTGTAGTTGTAACTAGTGTACATTAGTTTAAGCTTTGCAGAAAGGTGTCTTGACTGCTTTGTCCAAAAAGTGTTTGTGTGTGTGTGTGTGTGTGCTCGTGGGGGGGAGGAGAAGCTGTATTTGTACCAATTAAGGTTGAGTGTTACACTGTAACATTTGATCCTGAACATTGCTTCTTGGTATACAGTAGGAAGAAAAGTAATTAAAATTGACAAAATTTGGAGTGCTATGTACTCCAAATACAAAGCAGATTGTATTTAGCCCTTGCAAAAATCAAATGATACAGGATATGGAGAGATATATTCCTAGGATCCATGGCTAATTTATGCAGAAAAGAGGCCTGACATTGTATATATGTTTGACCTGTGCAATATCTTGACTTTTCTAGTTGAGCATATTGAGTTATATATGTTAGCCTTGGAAGCTTCTTTAGAACTATTGAACATCTTAATTACTTAGAAAAAGATTGATATAAAGAAGGAGGTTGGGAAAGCTCAACTTCGTGATGTATTATAAATGTGGCAAACCACCATTATTACCTTAAAACATTTTTTTAATGTAGCAGCTGTTTAAGCATTCATAGCTAACCAGTTCCTTCTTGAATTGTTAAAGGTATAAAGTATAGGGCTGCCATGCAAAACTACTTTTCTAAGTTTGAGATCTTGAATATCTTGTATCTTGAGCAGATTGTTTGAAAAGGAATTCAGAAAGCTGATATATAATCTTAAAGAGGCCATTTGTTGGTATTTACTTTTCACCACAACAAATTATTATGTGATAAGACCATCTTCTTTGGATCAATATCTTTAATATCAGTGATATTGCCTTTGGCTACCTAATTTGTATCATCAACCTAGCATCCTGTGACTCACAACTAGAGAAGTAACAGGATCTCTATATTTGGCCTACCTATTGAGTGCTGAATTTTTTATACATGTTGGAAAAGTATTTCTTGACTTTTATTTATGATCAGAATTCAGAATTCACTTTCATAAATTCTAAACCATGGTTCATGTCTTTTATGATATTGGGATGTTTGTTTTCATTTAAACCAGGCATGTCAAACTCGCGACATCATGTGACGTCGCACAACGTATCGGGCTGGTTTTGTCATTGCCGGCAATGGGGTGGGCGCGGCTTCCACGTGACGCGTCCGGCCCGTGGGCTGGCAGTTTGACACCCCTGATTTAAACATACCTTATAATAAAGTAGTTTTGAAAGATCCCATTTTCCCACTGTTTGCTGTTAAATGAAAGTGTATTTGTGTGTGTGCGTGCGCGTGCGCATGCTGGTTAGTATTTTTAACATACAAGTGTTAAACATGCCTTGTTAAAAACATAGTTGGATATATTTTTTAAAAAATCCTATTGTACAATTTAGCTTTGGCAATATTTTATTTATTTGTAGCATATATGGCTACTAAGTAACAAAAAATACTCAATTGCCAAAAGAAAATACTACAAAGCAAAAATTATATTGTCAGTGTATCTGATGTGTGGCTGTTGATTTCTTTATGAGCTTAGTCCTTACAATGTTTTCTTTTTCATAGGAATTTAGAAATAAATGTGAATGTCACATTTAACACAAATGTTAATGTCCACCATTAAAAGGGATTTTCATTATTTACAGATCAGCAAAATAACACTGGATTCACATAGCATAATAAGCCACAATTTAACTGGTTTATTGAATAGACCACAGTTATTTGAGTCTTCACAATTGTGAAGTCCTAAATCTAGTGGTTCTCACATGATGTAAATGAACCACATCAAGGTTTGTGTGATGTGTGAACTTGGTCATTCTGTTCTTCATTGAAAAAGAATTGATTGCAACATGCTATTTATTGAGATGGATAGAATTTCATTTGATTTGGCCTAATCTATAGAAAGTTTATTTAATAACATTTTGGATAGCATGTGAAAACCTGCCCTTCTTTGAAAGGATAGGAGAAATTGTTGCATCAGAAACACAAAGCTCTTTAACATCCCCTTATTTTGGAAGTGCTCAATGTTTCTTCAGTTCTTCAAGATAAGTTGGGAACAAATTAAAACTACTTTATGGATATACTAAATATTAGACAATTAGTATATGTGCTTTAAAGTTTTTAACTGTGCACAAAAAGTGCAAATGATCACATTACTCATTAGTTTTAGGATTTAGTAAACATCTTCTGAAATAGCATTAATTAATAACAGCCTGACTGAAAAGCAACTATTTTGGGTTGCTGAGAAATGTCATAGATTATGGATTGAAATTTGAGATTCCCAGAAGAGATGGACTATTGTACAGAAAACACTGCAAAGAGTTTTAAATAAAGAAAGCTGCACCACTTCCTTC